TTTTTTTTTTTTTTACACATTAGCAAAATTGAGACTAGTGTTAATTTCGTTAACGAAAACTATGACGAAAAATGCTCGTTGACGAGCTTTTTTCCCCATGACTAAGACGAGACAAAGACGAGACGACAATAAGGTCAATAAACGAAAACTATGACTATTATCAACATGCAATTTCGTTGACGAAAAAAGACGAGACTAAAATGTATTAAAAAAAACATTAAAACAAAAAATAAAAACTTCTCTTGAACCAGAGAGAGTTGACAAACTTGTGTATATCTAAAAACTTGTAAAAAATACTCATCCCAGTTTAATTATTTCCCCCAGTTGCACAGTATAAATTGTGAATTGCATGCACTTAAAAAAAGTTGACAAAATGCACTTTCTGTACTTGTTTTGCAGTACTTCAGTTACATATATGCGTGTTCATTTAATAAAAAGCAGTAAGTGATCACTTGGTCTAGATTTTTTAACTGCTTAAATTTGCACTAAACATTTTGTATTTACTTTGTAACAATATCCGTTCTATCTAAATAGTTTTTGTTGTTTTTAATGGGGGCAAAAGAAAATCATGTTTTATTATTTAAAAGTAAATTTAAACATATTGAGATATATATCGAATATTGTAAAAATTTTGACAATATCGAGATATCACATTTTTTTATATATCGCCCAGCCCTAATGCGGAGGAAAACATTTGAGAGGCATTATCCAGCACACGCATCTGTCAAAGTACAACAGAACAAGATGTGATAAACGCTTATGCTTTTTTTATTTGAAGTGCTTTTAATAATTTACCCCTATTAAATTCGGATAAGACAGAGATATTACTCATTGGACCAAAAAACAGTACACAGAATCTCTTGGATTACAATTTGCAACTAGACGGATGTACGGTTACTTCCTCTACAGTCAAAGCTCTGGGTGTTATATTAGATAGCAACTTGTCTTTTGAAAATCATATTTCCCATGTTACAAAAACAGCATTCTTCCATCTTAGAAACATTGCCAAGCTACGAAACATGTTACCTGTTTCTGATGCAGAAAAGCTAGTTCACGCATTCATGACCTCTAGACTGGACTATTGTAATGCACTGCTAGGTGGTTGTCCCAAATGTAGTGAAGTTAAAGTCATAAGTTCCCAGAAAAAAATTATACTCAAGTAAAGTACAGATACTCAAAAAGTGTACTTAAGTACAATACTCAAGTAAATGTACTTAGTTACTGTCCGCCTCTGATAAACGCTTATGCTTTTTTTATTTGAAGTGCTTTTAAATATAAAGCATTGTCATGTTTCGGACAACTTCCTTCAGCTAACTTCAGCAAGATCAGCTAACGATCGCTATCAGCTGATAATTGCCTCTAATTATTGGATCGGTGATCTCTCAATTTGCCAATCTCAGAAACCAATCTCATGTAAAAGATGCGCGTCTGTGAAGTGTTTGGCATGGCATGCAACAGTGCAGTCTCAATCTGTTTTTTATAAGTTTGATTACTTTGTTTCTTATTCTTATTTTATCTGACTGTTTGCACATCTTTAGTGAGCTTGAGTTGAGTATATCTCTTCAGGAAAACTGATCAAGGAAACATAGATCTAGAGCACCACCTAGTGGCCATTACATAAAACACAAAGGAACTTACCCTTCATGCGATATTGCTTAAAGTCACCATATTTTTTAATGGAATACTGTAGTGTTTATTATCAATAATTTATCCGTGCACTTCATTATTATTATTTTTTTTAATTCATGTGCCCTCATAATCTTTAATCAAAAACGTTAACCTCCCCTCCCCCTCAAAACGACTCATCTTCTCTTCCGGTCACGAGCTATGGCACAAGGGCGGAGCTAGTGACGTGAGGGGTAAACGCTGGGATAAATGACAGGGGGAAAAACTGAAGCTGATGCTTCACTTTATAGCACTGACACCAGTCATGAGGGAGTACGTTACCCCTAAACATTGAAAAGATATTAGGATATTATGACAACATTACTCTTAGCCATTGCAAACTAATTTTTTTTCAAGAATATGACTTAACCTGATGGAGGATGCGCTCAGTCATTCAGGCAGTCTCTCTCTCTCGCTCGCTCTCTCTCTCTCTCTCTCTCTC